TAAGAAGCTGCGCTGCACTCCCGAAGGCATGTGGTTCAAATCCACCTCCTGCTCTGCAGGAGAAGGCTGGATGATCTCCTCCTGTGCAATTAACTGCCCCTGAAAACTGGCTGGAGCATCAGCTTTGGTTTGGTTCCAACTCTATAGCACATAAACAAATAAAATCACGAAAACAAACAAAAGGTTAGCAATTCACATCCACCAGCCACTCCATAATAGAAAGACAAGTAGTCCAACTCCTCTGATAAATATTTGTTGTTTGTTGTTACATGCCATCGAGTCGCCTGGCGACCCTATATATGACAGCTCTGAAGCCTGCCCTGTCCTGAGCCAGTCTCACTGACCCTGCCACACTTACCCCCATTACCCTAGTTACTGAATTAATCCATTTCATCCAGGGTCTTCCCCTCCTGTGCTGTCCCTACACCCTTCCAAGCATGATGTCCTTCTCTAAGGACTGGTCCCTCCTGGCCATGTGCCCAAAGTATGTGGGACAAAGCTTTAAGATCCTAGCTTCCAAGGAGAAATTTGGTTTCACCCAATCCAGACAGACCTGTTTGTTCTCTTGGCAGTGCAGGGTATGTTGAAAACTCCAGCACCACAACTCAAAGGCCAACACGTGGAATTGACTCAATTGGCAGCAAGTTTGGTTTTTCAGGTTTACATACCTAAAGAAAAATACTAAACACTGGGAGAGTTAATTAAAATTACACCAATCTCTGCACATCATTTTCCCTTTCTGAAAATAGGCTTGTGCAAGCAGTGAAAATGTATGAAGGGTGATGACTGAACTCCCCTATTAAGTGCATATGAATAAGTGGCTTCTGAATGTATACTTCCCTTCCAAGCTGTATTATTGTTGTTCTCATAATCCATCAGTCCTGCCTTTTGTTTGGAAAGCAGGATGTGTAATTCTTAATAAATCAGAGGCTCCATGACATACTAGGATATCTCAAACAATAGTAAAAGAAATAGACTAGTCACAATCTGAGACGTAAAACTTTGTCATTTTACTTAGTAATAAAAAATCAGCACTTTGTCCTTGTAAAAATCATACGGACTGCATAAAAGTGACAATGCTATCATGAAACCTGCCAGTGGAATTAGACCTTAATGAATTCCACAGAGAACTCCAACTTGAGAACGCAAGCGAAGGAGTCATAACACTATGCAGACAGGAAAGTGCAGTTGAACATTTTAAAAGCACAAGGGACACATGAAGATGTAGTCTAATTGGGGAAGCAAAGTGCTACCTTCTCCTCGCAGCTGGGAGCCAGTGAGTGGAGCTGATCAGAGGACAGTGACACACCATCAAATGTCATTCAGCACATTATGAATTAAGCATTCAAGAGCAGAATGACTTTTTCCATAGCAACAAAGCCTCAGAAAGTCTGGAATTTTATTGGTTGGATTACTATATTGTTCTTCCAGGGCAGGATGGGGCTTCACTCTGACACTATTCAAAGTACCAGCAAGTGGGCTCCATATTCAGATACTTATGTTAAATGGGGGGAAATGGTAGGAGGCACGGAAAATAAGAGTTATATGAATAAGTAGCTAAAATGTTTCATTTCCTAATATGAAAAGGATTTAATTTAGAAACTGAAACTAAACTTTTGAAGATTTGATACAGTAACTCAGAGCTGCTTAATAAAGAATGGATTCATTGTTTAAGATGCCATCTCTATTTCTGAAAGAGCTGGCTCTGTTAAGGGGTCATGGAAATGTTCAAACCTTTCCCTCCTGTCACACCTGCACGCTGGGGGCAGGGTACAAGCTAATGTTTCTCAAATGGCCCCGATCCCTGACAGATCACTGGTACTTGCCCCTCACTCAGAAGAGAAGCCCAGCACCTGTGGGCAGTGGGAAAACAGCAAGTCACCAGCAGCTTAGACAACCCTGCGGCCATCCCAAAGATGGCCCACCTGGACACTTCCTGGTCCTAAGCCTCGTCTGGAACACTGCCCATCTTCCCATATGTAAACCAAAACACAGCAGAAATTTGTCTCTCATGAGAACTTGGTCACGAAGAAACAGAAATGACCAGGGTGTCAGAATCCTGCTCTTGTTGTTGTTACTATTTCTGTTAGGTTCTGCTGAGTCAAATACAACTCATGCCAACTCCATGAAAACAGATCTGATCACTGGCTGATGCTGTGCCATCCTTATCATTGCTGACATACTTGAGCCCATTTCCAGAGTCACTGTTTCAGTACATCCAACCACAGGTCTTTTTCCCTTTCTCTGACTCTCCACCTTTCCAAGAATGACATCCCTCTGCAAGGAATATCCTCTTCTAACAATATGCTCAAAATACATGAGACAGAGCATGACCATTCTTGCCTCTGAAGAGCTCACTGGCTGTACTTTCTCTAAGACATACCTGTTCCTTCTTTTAGCAGTCGAGTACTCTTCTCCAACACCGCAGCTCAAAGGCATTGATTCTTCTTACATCGTCCTCATTCAGGACGCTCTCACATGCATGGCGGGTGAATGGAAAGACTTGAATCAGGTGCACCTTAGTCCCAGGGAATATCAGCTGAAAGGCTGTGAGCTTCCCGAGGCAGAAATGATGCCTCGCTTAGCCTTATCATCTTATTGCTGTGGACTGAACCATGTCCCTTAGAAAGAGATGCTGACATCTCAGCCCTTGGAACCGTGGGCATCACCATGCTCAGGATAGGAGGGTCTCTCTTTGGAAATACTGATGACTCCATGTCCATCACAGAACTATGCTCCACAGTGTTCTTGAACATACCAACCTTGCTTGCAATTAGCCCCTGAGCAACTTACCTGACCGTACCATCCAGAGCCTCCTGTGAGTCAAAGACAATTCAATGACAACTGATGATGTAAGAAGATCCTACCCATTAAGTTATACTGATGAACAGTGGGCTGGAATCCCAACTCCTTTGGAATGATGTCTTCTAAAAGCAGAGAACACTTGAGCTCCCCAACTTGACAATGTGGGCTAAGAAGTCAATGATATGATTCAGACAGGAGAATACAGTATAAAAAGTTTTAAAAATACAAATGACACATGAAAACTATAGGCAGGAAAGAACTGCACAGAGTGAAGCTGCTCAAGGGAGCCCACATGGCGTGGAGGGCTGTGAGAGAGGCCTGGAACAGGAGATTCTGTGGAACATCATGCGGGATCCCTGGGACCTAGAGCCCGAGAGAGCAGGGCCCACTCATGCTATGCACTTGAACTTCAACTTCCAGAACTGTCAGACCACAGATTCATGGTTTTTGGTGGTGGGGGGTGGGGAGGGAGGGGGGTGGGCTCTTCTTTTTTTTTCACCTCTGAATTTTTTTTAAAATTTCCATTCATTCCTTGTTGCACACTTTCCTCCCTGCCCATCCCTCCCCACCTAGTTCGCTTTTCTCTTTGACAAGTAAAAAAAACATTAAAAAAAAATTCACTGTTACACAACCCCTCTGCCCCTAGTCCACTCCACTATGCAGGTTTCATTCTGGACTCTTGTCATGACAATAATACCTAATCGATTCATGTTTTATGAAACCATTTGCTTTGCTGTATTTGGAATTGGAGTTTTAGGAAACTAAGACACCAGTGTACCTTGAATGGCCTAGGATAGCTGAAATGGTTAAATCCAACGATAACATTTACATCACTAATGAGGGGAGCTCTGGCTGCTTCGTCCACAGGGAGGAGCCTGCTAACCCAAGGCTGCATTGCTCCTGCAATGAATCCATCAGCGACTCCAGAGAAGAAAGACCTACAATGTCCTCCTGTGCAATTTACAGCTTAACAAAACCCCTACACTCACAAACCAAACCAAACCACTGAAGGGTTGCTTCCGGATCAATGACAATGAAAACATGGTTGAATGTTACATTTACGATAATAAAGGAACAAACCCCACAAATGAATTACTATACCATGACTCAATTAACTATTGATCAAAGAGAAAATTTATTCACAGAGGTTTTCAAATACAAAAAAAAATAGTACTTTTTTTCCTTTTACAAAATGAATATTGAAATAAATGTGATACAGCACAGTACAATAATGGACAAAGGAAAAATAAGATCTAATGGTGGAGAAAGGTTTCTTCTTCTTAGATATTCAGTTATGATTTCTCCCACAGCAGACAGAAAGCTGCCCCTTTTTTTACTTCATAAGAATATCACAGCAGAAGCTTATCAGACAGAGATAGATTGCATATTTTTTTGAAGACTATTGAAATACACAGGCTGAACTTTAGAAGTCTGCATAAACACTGAAGACTTGTCAAAGGCGTAGAGTTTAGGCAGAATCTACAAAATACTGATAAAGTGGCTTTACTGGTCCATTTATTGGATTCATGGATGCTTTGTAAGTAATAATAATGTGTCTAAATGTATATTAAGAAGAAAATAGAAGAGTAATTGACCATTAACCTGGACAGTCGGTGTAACAAGGATGTGTCTGGATGACACATGTGCAGATCTGTGTGTTAGCATGGACACAGGTGTGGACGTGTATATGTCCGCATGGACACTGGTGTATGTGTGTGTTTGCTTGGACACGTGTGTGTGTGTGTGTGTGTGTGTGTGTGCATGTCTCTGTGGATGGAGATGTCTGTATGTGCTTTCAGCCGTGCCAGGACCTACAGAACCATCCAATAGAACACTATTGGTACTAGCCCTTTGGGTTCTCACTTTAAAAAACAAAACAAATCTTTGTTTGCATATATAGATTTGTGTGTGGGTTCATGTGTGTGTTATGTAGTAACAATACTCTGTGGAATAGAAACACTCAATGCCCTGCTATGTTTGAGCCTTTGGTCCATTTTCTTCCATCACTGTGTTTTCTGCATTTCTTGCACAAACCTCCTATCACATTTCTTATTATAGAAAGTTCTTGATCCCAGCGGGTTTCAGCCCATAGGCAATGCGTTGGGTTAAAGCCACTGTTCCACCTTGGAAGGAGCTGGGCACTCCGTCCCTCCGAGCCGTTCCGGTCCCTCTCCTGTGCTCAGCGAGGCCCCGGCTCAGTACGGGTACTGCTTCTGCTTCTTGCCTGAGAAGCAAGCCAGCCACGTGCACACGAGCATGGCGGCGGCGGCGCCCCCACCGGTGCAGTAGTACGCCCAGCCGATCTCACACTGACCTGCAGGCGAGAGAGGGAGAAGGAAAATGCGCCCATCAGGATGCTGGCTGGATAGGAGGGGCTCGATTCACCTGCCACCCCCGGGGTGGGTGTGGGTG